ACAAATTTAAACCTTAAGTTGACTAAATTACCCTTACTAAACTATTTTTGTTTTTTATTTTTTATTTTTTATTTTTATCTTTACTTTTTACTTTTATTTTTCTTTTATATTTTTATCTTTATTTGTCCATTGTTGGCGTCCTCTAATAATGTCATTTTTGGTCATTATATAAAATTAGTGCATATTGATATTGGGAATTTTTTTTTTTTTTTTGTTTAATAGTGTCGGTACGAAAGAAAATAAAATAAAATTAAAAAAATTTAGTAGAAAAGAGTAAACTAAAATCTCAAAAAATTCAAATCCTTGTTTTACAAATTACTAGTTCTCAGAGTTTAAAAAAAAAAAATTACGTTTATAGATATATATAGAGAAAAAAGTTTTAAACCAAAAAAAAAATATATATATATATATATAAGGTAATGTGCACATAACACCCTATACTATGACGTTAGTAGCATATATACCCTTGGACATTTTCGGAAGAGTAAAAGGGCAAACATGTATTATAGCTCTAATTTATATCAGATGGGATATTTTTGCACAATGTGAAAAGATTAGAGATTTTTTTGCACATTTTTTTTAAATAGGGATAAAAGTACGACGTTTTTTGCACATTTTTTTAAATAGGGATACAAGTACGACATGAAATATACTTTAGGGTGCTTATGCACTTGTCCCTAAATCATATCATCAAAGTATTCAAAATCTAGAAAAAATTACATTTAGGAAAAAAAATAAATGATTGTTTATTTCTAATATGTTAACAGATTGTTTTTTTGTATGGTATAGATGACTATATTTGCTTATATAATATATTTCTGCATGTATTTATATCATTTGGGATCAATTATTTATTTATAAATTTTTGTATAATTTTATATAATACCTTAACTGCAGTTAATTTTCAATTAGACAAGTGAGGATAATTTGCTAGTTGGTGTTTGTTATTTCAAAAAAAGAAGGGGTATTTTGTAACATTTTAAAACCTAAGGGGCTTTAATCCAATAAGGCAAAAAAAAAAAAAGGTCTTCAGAGTGAGGATATACATGATATTATCGTTGATGTGGATCAATAATAAATGAATATATCTTCTTTAATTATCAAATTGGGTGGAATATATATTCACTTACCAAATCAAAGATCGTTAGAAAATACATCATATATGATCCCAAAAAAATACTAAAACTTTATATTCACAAAAAATAATATTTATTTTGAAAACGAGGGAGTAATTTTGACGTGTGAGAGCCCAAACTCTAATGCTCCGTTTGGATGCATAAGTCAGAATAGAAAGGAAACGATATTCATGATAAAAAATAAAATATAAAAAAAAATGATAAGAGCTCTATTCATATTTAGATTGATAGAAGATTATATATATATATATATATATATGTTTTTTAAAATAAGATGATAGAGAGAGAGAAAAAAAAATATATATATATATATATATATATGGAGAAGAAGAAGGGGAATAGTAACTAAATTATTACAATACTCTTTTAATTATATAAAATATAAATGGAATAACAATTTTCACTTTTTAATTATTAAAGACAATTTCAAAATTATAATGTGAACTATCCTGTTTATCTTTCCCGATTATTTCCTTTCTTTCGTTTTAAACAGGCCCAAACACCCACGCTAGCCCTCCAAATCGCTCGGAGCCCAAAGTTAGGAACCGTAGGAAAGAAGTTAAGTCAACTCATTTAATTATCATAATACTGTAGTTAGTCCAACGCCCCCATGTGCGAAGTTCAGCTCAAGTCATTTTATGGCAGCAACGACTACAGAAAAATCTTTTCTTGGTCGTCTCACCGACGACTTCCTGTGCTGAATCCGCCAAATCCTAATCTCCATAAGCATAGGAGCCTCTCTCAGATCAATTCACAACACTCTCTTCTCTCTCTTCTTCGAAATGAACCCAAATGATGACAGCACGAATGTCCCCTCCTCCTCTGATCCTCCACTGTTTGATCCATCCCAGCCCGCCGTGCCAATCTCCTACCCCCTCAAAACCTTAGAAGACCTCGAATCGAGGGTCTATTTTGACTCATTTCATTTCCCATTCAACAAATCTTCGGTCACTCTTCAATCTGGTAATGGTTCACTGCCGAACCGCCCCAGAATTCTGGTGTGCCATGACATGGCCGGAGGTTACACTGACGATAAGTGGGTACAAGGTGGGACCAATGCCGATGCCTATGCTATATGGCACTGGTACTTGATGGATGTTTTCGTGTATTTTTCGCATAGTTTGGTTACACTTCCGCCTCCTTGTTGGACTAATGCAGCTCACAAGCATGGTGTCAAGGTTTGTGTTTTTTTGTTATAATATCGATTACATTTGTTTTTGGAGTATTATAACAAGTGAATAGAAGTTCATATCGGGGATTATAAGATTTGGTTTGGCTCTGTTATGTTTAGAAGACTTTGTACATTGAAAATGAAATTGGCTTATACATATAATCATATACATGTCTTTGTGATTTATATATACATATATAGGACCTAATTCTGAACAGTTTGACAAGCAGTACATATAATCATATACATGTCCGGTGTTGAGTAGGCGTTTTTGTTCCTTAGAATCTTGGAGTGGTGATAGGGTTTGATCTTAGGTCCTCTCTTGGATAGAGGCTTTCCTTTTCTTGAGCAATAGAGGGTTTGAGTTGTTTTCTTCGTTATTGTAGTTGAACTGTTGAGGGATGGGATGATAAGATTGGAGGTGTGTGGTCATAGATTCTTGAGAAAATTCCCCTCTAGTCCTACTTTTCAGCATTAAAGACAAAGGAGTCCTAAAAAAAAAACAAAAAAATTATAAGACAAAGAAGTCACTTTACATAAATATTTTTAATCAAGTTTTAAACTAAATAGAATTCCTATTTTACCCTTTTCATATTCCCCCTCTCTCAACACCTTTCTCCCTTAAGCAATCTGCACGTCCTACCTGATACTGACAGGCCCAGGCGGCAAGCTTGCGAACCCAGTCCGGAGCCAAATAGAGACGTCCAAGTAATGTGCCCACACTACCTCGACCCATCTTTGCAAAACCCAATGGTGAGCTCCATTACAACTCCAGTGACGGTGAACCACCCAACTCCAGAGAAGTACTCCGATAGACAGAGGATAGAAAACACAGATTAAAGCAGTTTGAACAATTAGAAAGAAATGCCAAAACGATCATCATATACAAGAGATGACATCTTGTAAACATCACAATCAGTCCATCATCACATCAAAAGATTTTAATTGCAAATGTAAAAAGCAAAACATTATAGCATAGAGGAGAAACTAAACTACTGTTCAATCATCCTCACTCTCAAAATTGCCGCCGCATTCATCTTCTCTTACAAAAAATTGCACAGACCCAGGACCAAGGAAGGTCGTGGCCGGCCAGCACAAATCTAGCGCCGTCGATCATTGGTGTCGTTACATATTGATTTGCCAATAAAGACAATCTGTAGTTGCTTCCAAACCCAATCCTACAACCTCGCCCACCGAAGTTAATTTGTTCCTCCACAAACACACTGTAGATTGCCGCCGGAATCAATGGATGCCATGGTCACCGGAATCCATAAGGCCCCATAGTTGCTTATGAGGATGATCTGCCCGAATAACTAATATACGTTTTGAATTTAGTTTTTTTCCTTTTTAAGCGGCTATGAAATAAACATCTGTTGCTATAGCATAGAGGAGGAAAGGGGCTACTGAATCAAACTGGGTTCGCAAGCTTGAACTAGTTTAGTTTTTTTCCTTTTTAAGCGGCTATGAAATAAACATCTGTTTGATTTTAATGTATTACTTTTCTTAAAACCTTTTTATGTTGCTATAGCAAAGGGGCTACTGAATCAAACTAGTTCAAAAAGATTTTAATTGCAAATGTAAAAAGCAAAACATTATAGCATGGAGGAGGAAAGGGGATACTTAATCAAACCGGGTTCGCAAGCTTGCCGTCAGGAGAAAGGGGTTGAAAGGGTAAAATGAAAAAGGTAACGTAGGGATTCTATTTAATTTAGAACTTGATTGGAAATATTTATGTAAAGAAGGACTTCTTTGTTCTATAAATTTTTTAAGACTTCTTTGTTTTTAGGATTAAAAAGTAGGATTAGGGTGAAATTTTTCCTAAATTTTCTTTCCATCTGACCAGCTTTGGTTGCGTGTCATGGGGCGTGTGTAGTACTTGTGGTATGCGAGTTGATGTTTCCCTCGCTCTTAGTCGTGTTGGAATTAGGACATGATGTTTTCCTTACATTTTCATCTCGAAAGACAGGCGGTTTTGGGTTAAGGTTCACCAGTTATGCTATGAGAGAGGTGAGTTGGATCTTTTCTTCATACTCAAGCTGTGGGAGCCAAGTGAGTTGATGTTTCATAATGATCAGAGAGTGTTGACCATAGATTGTAGTGAGCCACTAGGAGCGACCTCTTGAACTTGGTGACATGTTTTATTTGATTTTTTTGTTTTGTGGCCTAGTGGACGGATGTGCGTGAATATGTACAAGTAGTACCAAGACGCTATTATACTGAACGAGTTATGAACACACAACTCAAAATGACATTATCTTAATTTTATATATAAATAAAAAAATATTATAATTTATCATATTTTAAATATTTATTCCAACATTTTTATGAAAATGGTCACTCTAAGGAAAAGAATCTTCTTAGTTTATTATGAAGCACAAACGTGAGAAAGAAAATGACAAGTTAGAGTGGGCATTTCATTCCACTGGCACTCAAATGTAACAAGGTCTTTAAAAGCTTTTTTCTTCTTTATATTTAAAAAATACTTGTTGCGAATTGCGACACATGTCAGACATGCCGGTATAAGTGTTACCACAATCCTGTGTTGCAACAAATATTAATATTTTTTATATTTAAAAAAATTATGATACCAATGGATGAGCTAAATAATACAAAATATTAAAAAGTTATTTATTTATTTATTTATTTGTTGCAAAAAATATTGCGTGCCAAAACAAGAGCAAATAAAGGGCATTTTTGTTTTCCGGTTCCACTCAGCAAAAACAGTAGTGCAAAACACCCCCGTGAGGTTGCATATGAATAACCGCGGGAAAATTTGTTCAAACCAACGTCCATGGTAGCAACTAACTACAAACAATAAATCAAAACAGCCACTTTTCTTTGTAGTTTCTATCGAACTCGCACACAGTTAACTTCCAAGATGAATCTCTTTCGCGATTATATAAATCGCCAAACCCTAATCTCCATACGAGCTTTCCTCGGATCAATTCACAACACTCTTCTCTCTCTCTCTCTCTCCTCCTCAAAATGAATCCAAATGATAACAACAAGAAGAACATCCACTCCTCCTCTGATCCTCCACCTTTCGATCCATCCCAGCCCTCTGTGCCAATCTCATATCCCATCAAAACCCTAGAAGACCTCGAATCGAGGGTCTATTTCGACTCATTTCACTTCCCATTCAACAAAGCTTCAGTGACTCTTCCATCTGATAATGATTCTTTGGCTGACCGTCCCAGAATTCTGGTGTGCCATGACATGGCCGGAGGGTACTTGGATGATAAGTGGGTCCAAGGGGGGACCAATGCCGATGCGTATGCCATATGGCACTGGTATTTGATTGATGTTTTTGTGTATTTTTCGCATAGCTTTGTTACCCTTCCACCTCCTTGTTGGACTAATACAGCTCACAAACATGGTGTCAAGGTTTGTCCATTGTTGTATCAACTGCGTATGTGTTTTCGGATTAGTGTAATCAAATAAGAAATTGTGGCTATTTGAATTGATTGGTTTGAAAAACAGAGATGGAAAGAAATTAAGGCTATGTTTAATTGCATGGAATTGGAGTCTTGGAATTGGAATTGGAATTGGCAGTGGTGAAATTGGAGAAAATTTTGATTCAATTTTCTAAGTTACTTTTCTCAAATTCTACTAATTCTAATTCTGAAGCTCCAATTTGATGCAGCCGAACATAACCTAAGCAATTTTATATTGGAATTGACACACAAACACACACACATAAACACACTTTGTTTTGGAAATTGATAGTTGAAACTGAAATTTGTTTTAACATACACACACATTATATTTAAATGTTTATAGAGCAGATTGAAACAGAGAATTGTAAGGGTGAAGTTGTGTTTGTATGTGATGATCATGTTGCTTCTGCCTATGTTGAATAAGGTATTGGGGACTTTCATCGTAGAATGGGATGAAGGCAGAGTTATTGCTGACAAACTACTCTCGACGAAGGAGTCTGCTCAAATGTATGCCGAGCGCTTGACTGAGCTAGCTGTTGCTTTGGGCTTTGATGGATGGCTGGTGAATTTTTCTTTTTAAATATGTATTCTTTACCCTATTTATTATTTATTTTCCGAATTCCAAGTGCATATGAATTTTGGTGTTGAATGCCTCAGCCTGACATAGAATGCCATTTCTAGTTGTTTCTATGATGCATATATCCACTGCCATTACTAGGCTCTTTAAGTTCTTCTTTATGAATTACGCTATTCAAGAAAGAAAACTTAGAACTAGAACTCAACAAATTGGAAAATTCCTACAGTACATAGACAAAAATGTGAATTCTAAATTGCTTCTTTAATGGTTTTGACAAAAAAAAAAAAAGGGTAAACTTTTCTAAATCGATTTACTTGTATTAAAATGGTCATTCTCGTCATTGTTGACCTTGGGACTGTTATTTGTAGTTAAATATGGAGGTTGGCTTGGATGTTGGGCAAATCCCTAATCTGAAAGAATTCATCATCCATTTAACTAGTACCATGCACTCTTCAATGCCTGGATCTTTAGTCATATGGTAAGAGTTAGTTGATTCCGCGTTTCTAACCACGTAGCCGACCCCAAGTAGTTGGTAAAAAGGCTCAGTGACTGTTATTGTTGGATGCATTTCGTTGAAAATGGGATTACGAAATGCATATTACTTATTATTCTGTCATTTTGTTGACTATGCAGGTATGATAGTGTTGCTGTTAATGGTAATCTTAGCTATCAAAACAGACTGAATGAAAATAATAAGCCTTTCTTTGACATATCTGATGGCATATTTGTGAATTATTCATGGGAGGTATTGCCCTTTTTTTTTTTTTTTTTTCCTCTCTTATTCAGAAGTTTGATTTAGGTGTTCCAGTTTTCGTGCATACATATTTTCTTTCGTGCCATGCAGGAAGACTATCCTAAACGTTCAGCTGAAGTTGCCGGTGACAGAAAGTTTGATGTCTACATGGGTATTGATGTTTTCGGAAGGGGCACTTATGGTGGTGGACAGTGGAATGTATGTGCTCTAGATATCATATATAACTGTTGGAAATTGTTAGTAAACATAACACCATGTTATGGATTGAATTTAGGTTATTTACTTGGAGTTGGTGGTGATTGTGTTCAAAGTAACTTTTTCAAATGTCCTTTATTCAATTGTTGGAAGATTTTGAATTGCTGTATAACTATAATAACATTTTGTACCTCAGACAAATGTTGCACTTGATGTGCTGAAGAAAGATGACGTGTCAGCTGCGATATTTGCTCCTGGATGGGTATACGAGAATAAGGAACCGCCTGATTTTCAGACTGCTCAGAATCAGTAATGAACTCAATTCTTGTTGCAAAGTTTCAACTAGTTTATCTGCTACTTCTAATATGCTTATATTTTAAATTTATGAAGTTCTTTTGGTTGGTTTATAGTTTTTGTTAGAAGCTATAATATTAAAACATTTCTCAATCATTAATATGTAGGGCATTTATCAACACAACATCCATTTACGTTTTTGTTATAAACCAGTTAATAAGTTGCAACTTTTCCATTTTTTCACTCTTACAAGTACATATCTATAAATATGTCTGTGTATGCATGTATGCATAACATATATTCACATATTTACATTGAAACTCCATGAACACGAGAATGTATAGCTGTGATTGCTTATCTACACTAAAAGTTGTCATGTTGTATACCTCATTCTTTGTCAAAATATGGCACCCTCCTATATAATCAATAATCATAGCTTGAAAGTTTTTTGCAGCATTGCCACGCATATAATGTCCTCTTTTTTTTAAAAAAATATATATATAAAAAAATAAAAATAAAAATTAGCATTAGCTTCTCACTCAAGCATGCAACCAATCTCCAACAGCTTTGGGTGCTCTTAATTTTGTGGATGAATCAATTGGTGATTAAATATTATTGACGTGCATGGTGCACAAAATTAAAGGTTTCATAAATCTAGTTATTTTCTATTATTTTCTCTGCGAAAATCATACTATTATTTTCCCTGCAAGAAAATCATACTTTCATTTTGAAGGTGAACAAATTTCATGTGCATTAAATTTTAGTTTTTTTAGCCTTCAGTTTTATGGCAATACTACAGAATTTCTTCTATGACCAGCAACACTGCATTTGATGGTATTGATTCTTTTGTGTGTCAACAATTGTTTTTCTTACAATATTAGGTTAAAAAGGTACTTGAATAGCCTGCTATTGGGTAGTTGAACAAGTCACATATCGGTTAGAAAACAAAAGAAATCTGGGACTTATATAAGGTAAGGGTTACTCCACCTAATAGGTTAACCTTTTGGGTTAGATACCCACAAACTCAATAACTGGTATCAGAGCTAGGTCCCAAAGAACCACATGTGGACGATCAAGATCCCCTAGCTGACGGGAAGACAAGAAGGGAGCCTCGTTCAAGGGACCGGTGACGTTTCTATCCACCGGGGTGAGCCTTGTTCAAGGGGGATTGTTGGGTAGTTGAACGAGTCCCACATCTGCTAGAAAACAAAAGAAATCTAGACTTATATAGGGCAAGGGTCACTCCACCTAATAGGTTAACCTTTTGGGTTGGATACCCACAAGCCCAATACTTGCATTATAAAATGTTGTAGCTCTTATGCAGTTTCAGCATTGCAATTATCATATCAAATTTTTTTTTTTTTTTTTTTTGTCGTCAGTTTGCTCTTATAGATTCATATGTTGAGAATAATTTTAAGTTTACATCTATCCCTTTCTTGGTGGCTCCATGATTAAACCTTTTGTTTTTTGTTCTCTGTCTTCCTGCTAAGTTGTGTATAGTGTTGCAATTGTTTCATCACCTTCATTTGTGATATGCTTTGGATTTTTCAGTTGGTGGTCCCTTGTTGAAAAATCATGGGGAATATTACAGAATTACCCCAGAGTACTTCCTTTTTACTCAAATTTTGATCAGGTTTGCAACTTTACATATCTCTCTTGTTCTTTTTGCTTTCTTCTTTCTTCTTCTTCTTTGATCACATAATATTTGTGTAACTTGTTTAGGGACACGGTTACCATATTTTCGTTGACGGAGGGCAAGTACTGAATGCCCCTTGGAACAACATTTCTTCTCAAAACTTTCAGGTATGAACTCTTTCTCTATTTCTTTCTTTTCTTTTCTTTTCTTTTCTCCCCTTCCTTTTTCCCCCAGTTCTCACTCTGATATGATGATTTGGGTTGTTTCCTTTTCATGGCCTAAAAATATATGTTGCTGGTTTCTACTTTTCCACACACAATTTTGTATTTTCATAAGTTTAACTTTTTTTTTTAGGAAATTATATAAATTGACTTTCTTCTCAACATTAACTGTTGTAGAGACCAAGGTTTTGACACCATCGCATCCAAGAATCCATTCTTTCATGAACTTATGTGGAACGATGTTCATGTGATTGGCATCGAATTGCTTAATCTATGTCACGATGCTTTAACAACTGCTGCCAAGTAAATCAGTTGTGATGAGCTTTGAACTTCATGTCATAGTTATGAAGAGAGCAACAGCAATGAAAGAGATAAAAAATTGTATTGAATAAAATATTTTTTTCAAAAATGTTGAGGAAATAAAACCATATCCCACATTGGAGTCCTACTTAAAGTGGCTGGTGTTCATGGTTCAGCGAAGATGAACGGACTACAATTACTTAAAAGTTTTAACTTCAAATTTTGTATCATTTATAATGCATTTTCCCTAGTTGTACTTAGGAGGAATTTGATAAGCAATACAAACTTCTATATGGGAATAGAATGTTGATAATGACCTGTAAATGCACTACTGGCTCTTCACAAATAAAAAAATTTCAATTTACGTTTTTACAATGTTAAAAGTTGCATTCATTTAATTAAATTTTGCATATTATCAAGGATATGTTTATAAAAATTACGAGAAGATGTGAAATTATTCATGTCATTATATGAATTTTTAGTTATCCAAATTTTCAAGGAGAATACTCTCTCTCACAGACATACACACACTTATTGACAAGCATTTTTGCTCAATTTTCCTGCTATTATCATATTTGACTTTAGAATTGTTATGAGCTTTTATTGTGTACTAACTAATCAGGCTCTTGAAGATGAGACAAAACTATTTTTCCTGCTATTATCATATTTATCATCAGTGTTGTGATTTTTGTCCTTGTAATGCCCATTTTTACTTTTTCCTAATTAACTTTATTTTTACAGCCTTACCTTGAGTTTTCTGGAGAGCCTACACCAAATTCAATTCAAGTCCTTGTTGAGTAAGTTTTATTACTCTCTCTTTTATTTCTTTGCAGTTTATGTTTATTATGGCTATCATTTCCACTTTGGGAGTCGTCGACGTCATCATTATCCCTGCCTTAATCCCATATGAATGAGGTCGGCTACATGAATTCTCTGTCTTCAATCTTTTCTCTTACATGCCATTTGCCCACTATCTGTAACTTTTTAAAGTCACTTTTAATAAGCTCATCCCATGTAATTTTTGGTTGGCATCTCCGTCTCTTACCTTCTATGACAACCAGCCTTCCTCGTTTGACTGGCGCATCTCTAGGTCTCTAATGTATGTGCCCAGACTACGCAAGTAATAAGTCTACTCTCGCTAATTTTCTCACCAATGGGTGTCACCCCTAATTTTTCTCTCACACTTTCATTAGTGACCCTGTTTCTTCTAGTCACTCTACTCATCCATCTTAACATTCTCATTCCTGCTACATGAAAGCGTTGTTCTTGTTTCTTTTTTAGGGCCCAACATTCTGCTCCATACAACATAACTGGTCTAATAATGGTCCTACAGAAATTTTCTTTTAACCTATGTGTTATTCTTTTATTTCCACTTGGAATTATATGTACCAATTACTCACATGATGTAGCCGGGAAAATAGAACAGACATAATTTGTGTATATACCCCAACAGTGACAGTGACATTTTTTAAATTACAAGACACATTGAGGTCCTTTGTTTCAGAGTGATAGAAACCAAATGAACCATATCATTCTGAATGGAAAAGGCTTATGAAAATTTTGTTCATATAGCATCATTACTCTTCAGTCATATGTAGAACAGTTGAACTTTTGGAACACCTGCCATTGGAATATTATTCAAACATTTAGAGTTTAAATGGAACTTCAGATATTCCCTTCTTTTCTGCCGATCATTTTAGATAAGGCAAATTTTCTGATCTTCTAGGGAATCAAAATAATTCTAACTACAACTTATGTTTCGTGGATGGCTAATACATCTATGAGTGAACCACCACTTTGATCAGTAACCACTTGAAATGTGAACTGTTCTTGTCTGTAGTAGCTTTAATTGATTTTGATGTAACCGGTATTTTCCAAATTCTCTATTTCCCACTAATTTTGTTTCTAAAGTTGGATTAGATTTTAAGTATCATTCTTCTGCTTGAATTAAACATTTGTTTTCAAATGGAAGTTTTAAGGAACCATCTTATAGCGGAGGAGGGAACATCACTTTTAAAGGATCTCTTGAAGGCAATGCGTATTTCACAACCAGGCTCTTTCAGGGAGAGCTTCTTTTGGGGGATTTACCAATCTACTTTACATATTCTGTAAGCTAGCTACCTCATTTGTGAATTAAACTTGCAAACAAAATGGTTCTCAAACAATTCGTAGGTTGAGTGTGACTTGTTAGACCTGGCTATTAAGGTTAGGTTGATGTCCTTCTGTTCCTCTGGTCAATGACAACATCATTTGACAAGTGATCGAAATCGTGTGATTTATGTTTCACAGTAGAGTCATAGTGGTAAAATATCAGACCACTTGGATGATTTTAACCATCCAAATCAGATATGTTAGAATACTTAGGATTGTCCTCACAATGGTCTAAAAAAATACTACTATCGTCATAATACCATCATCATCATCCTTGCCTTATCCGAATGGAATGTGGTCGGTCTCATGATTTCCTTCTTCTACTGTTCTCGATTACACGTTATACCTCCTATCATATTTAGTATTATTAAGGTCTTTTCTTATTATTTTATCCGATGTTAATTTTGTCTCAGCTTTATGTACTGCTGTCATCTCTCTTATGGACAATATGAAAACTTTATTATTTTTTGTTTTTAATTTTCTCTTCAAGAGAATGTTTGGAGCATTGTAGATTTATATACAATCAATAACACCAAGAAAGAAAAATCTGCATACCAGTTTGTGTCTTTCCATTCTCATTTTGTTCAGCTGTTGATGCCACTGTCTTTTATGCAGGTGAAATCTGATGAGATCTCCCTGGTAGGCCTTTCCCTGGAGTTCTCTTCTACCCTGAAGGAGAGAACATCAGTACTTCTTGCATCCCGGGGAAGAACATTGCTTACGATAAACCAGTTGTCAACAAAATTTGGTAAAGTGATCATGCCATGTCGAGTTACAAAATCAGAAACTGCACCAGGATGGGTCATACAGGAGAGTAGCATTTCAATGAATGGATACACATTAAAAGAAATACATGCTGTATGCTATCGATCAAAGCCTGTGCTCAGTAAACAGATACTAAATTCTGGATCAAATGGCGAAGATAATTCCTTAGCTCGCGGTCCATCAGAATATTTTGCACTTCTAGGCCACATCACAGTTAAAACTTCTGAGCAGAACTCGAGTTTCCCTCCATCTACTTCATGGCTAGTAGAGGGTCAGTATATTAAATGGACTTCGGGTTCTCAGGGATCAAAGACCCTTAGTGTCAAGGTCATTTGGAAACTGAAAGATGGAGATGCTTCTCTATTCCCACAGTACAACATTTATGTGGAGAAATTGAGCAAAATGCTTGAAGGTGTGCAGGAGTATCTTGGAGTGGCACGAGTGGACGCCTTTTATGTTTCTGATCTTGTCATTCCTACCGGCACTTCTAGTCTCAATTTCATTATTCAAGTGTGCAGCATTGATGGAGCTTGTCAGAGTCTACATGATTCTCCATCTTTCCATTTGAATGTTGAAGGTCAGTAATCTATATATATGTTACTTTCTTGTTGCATGACAATAAAAGTTCAAAAGAACTGCGCAGAATAAAATAGCCTTTTCAATATAACTTATTTTCCGAAGTGTATTTCAATACTAGTTTTATATATTTCTAGAGTTGGATTTATGTATTTGAACTGCTCTTTAATTGCATTTCTCAAAAACTTATCACAGTCTCATGTGGTACATTCTTTATTCTCTCTTTTAATCATGCTATTTTTTAATATATTTAGTGATGGTGTATGAAAATGCCATTGTTAAGACATTTCCATGTTGAAAAATTGTCAGTTCCATGAGGCACAACTGGGAAGATATGTATGAATTCTTTCTCGAATATGTGGGGAAAAAATATATATTAAAGCTAAAGGGAAAAACGTGAGTTTTTGAAACTCCTACTTGAATTGGTGAAATTTTCAACCATTGATGAACTATATCTAAATGTAAAAACTAAACCATTGTTCGGCAAAATAAGTCACCCAGAGGCAGACTCTGGAAATATTTTCTTGGGGTGGCTGAGTTAGCATTATGAAAATTAAGTTTAAAAAATGATAAGGCAATTTTTTCTTTCTACGATTGATTTTGTTGAAAGTAGATCTAAGAAGATTATTTATAAATTAAAAATTATTTCATAAATCATCAAGTGCATACATTAAGGATTATGATAAAGACATGGAATATATCTGAAAACTTTGAACTTCCCTTCAAAACACGGACCTCCAAAAACACGACTTAAAAAGACTCAAATTTAGTGTTTTTGTGTGTGTGTGTGTGTGTGTCCTCTTAGAATATTTAAAGCTAACTTTTGGTCGACTTGACAAGAGTTTTGATTCTACATTATTGTTTCAGTGAAGATATATCCTCTCTCTCTCTCTCTCTCTCTATATATATATATATATATTCATATGGTGAAAATGTGCAAGGAAATAAAGTGAGACAATAAAGTGATGACAGACTGTCCAAGTTTCACTTATTGGTTTGGTGATTAGAATATAGAAAAACAAAATAAGGTCATTTATATGATCCACGAGGCTGTATACATTATATATTGCAGAATAGACACTGATAAAACTAAGGGAGACAAAATTTAAGAATCAAACTATAATAGTGAAATGCAATAAAAATTTCAAATAAAAAAAATTTAAGATACAAGTATATTCAGGATTGATTAGGTAGAAAATTGAATTCAAGACTAGTTGTTGGTCCATTTCCAAGAAGAATTGAGATAGAAAAGGACAGGAGTCCAAGAGTAAATTAAAAGCTAAGTCCTCTGGACCCTGATCCTCACCTCCCTTGTCCGGTTTAGTACCATTACCATTACGTTCATGAATAAATCAACAATGCGACATGCTATATTAAAAAGTAACAATGATATAACAGTGACGCAATATAATTTAATCCAAGATCCAACACATTACATTGTGGTGCAACACTGCAACATTGTTGAATAGTGAATTCAAAATTATTGCATTAAAACCTGATGTGACACCTAGAAATGCTTCGAATATTGTGATTGGTAAGTGGAAAATGGAAGGACAATAACCCCTGTTCCCAAACACAAGAAACAGACTAATATGGAATAATTTTTGTGATTAAAGTGATTGGGCCCATCAATCACTTTTGGTATTTTTTGTGTTGAAGCAAACTGCCCCCAATGTCTTTAAGTTATTCAGTTCAAGGAAGAAAAGGAAAAATAAAAAAATAAATAAAGAAAGAAGTAGATAAATTGATAGAGGGAATGAGATTTGAAAACAGACAACCTTCATTTGGAAGCATTATCCTCGAGCCCTCAAGGTTCCACTCCCTCCCCTGTTTTCCAGTGAGTCTCAAAAATCGAGGTTGATAGAGATAATTGGGATTCCCTTTGTCTTGTTATCCCCCTTTCCAGTCACCTTTTACCTCCTCGGATAATTATTTTCATCTCCAACTTTACTCTGCTCTCTACCTTCTCCCCCCAATTATATTTTACGTAGTATATAACTTTCATGTACTAACCTAACTCTTGTCACATTTCTAGCTCACTTTTACACATAATACAACAATTTATAATGATTCAAGTCCAAAATGGCAGCTGACCCCACAACAAAACCATGAAGCAACTTGATTGAATGCCTTCAGCTTTGGCCCAACGGTAAAATTATTAAATTGTGATTTGGAGGTCACGAGTTTAAAATGAAAAATATTTCTCGAATATGGAGGTAAAACTGATTACATTACTTACATTTGAGTCGTCCTAGATTATACAATAACAAAAATCTCGTTCATTGAGTTAGTCCTTTTGTAAATAATAAATAATCCCATTAAGCTCTATTTTGTCTTATGTGACTGCTTACGTCTGACTCATCCTAGATTATACAATAATGAAAGTCTCGTCTATTAATAATTTAATAAATAGCTCCATTGAACTCAATTTTGTCCTGTGTGACTGCTTATATCTGACTCGTCCTAGATTATTCAATGACGAAAGTTTCATCCGCTGAACTAGCCCTTTTATATGTAATATAAATAGTCCCATTGAATTCTATTTTGTCCTGTGTGACTGCTTACATCTAACTCATCATAGATTATGCAATGATGAAAGTCTCATCCGAGTTAACCCTTTTGTAAGTAATAAATCGCCTCATTGAGCTCTACTTTGTCCTTTGTGTCATGAGCAGAGCAAGAATGGTGAGAATCAATGGGCTAAATCATATAACAGTAATGTTGAATCCCAAGAAATCAAAATTGATCCCAATGGGAGATTGATAAAGACTTGAGTACTATCAAATAATTAGAAAATGACAAAAAACCAAGTAGCTATTCAGTACCTTTTAATCTGATAAGGTTGGACTCAAAATCCATCCTGCTACACGTGCAGGGAGGAGGGTTGATAGTGATGGTCGAATTTTTTTACAAGTTTGACTTGGGACTTGCTTAGACATTAAACGAAGTGAGTGAGAATCTTTTTATGTCAGTTGTTGCCTTTGATTTTTCTCTTTTCTTCCATCTAAAACTATGCATTGATTCAACATATAATTGTATTGGAAGACAAATGTGGAACACATGGGGCTCACATCTCTTTAATTATGGCTCATTTAGATCTTTGATTTGTTCGAATATTAAGTTTAGGAAAAGGGTAAAAACTTTTCAACTACATTTTAAGCCACCTTACCCTTTGGTCTGAAAGTTCCAAAACTTACCATGGTCAAGTGAAAATCACTGTCAAGGTGAATTTATTGTGTGGAAATCAGAGTGCCTAGACAATCTCAAAATGACTGCTTGGTAAATGTTACATGCAGAATTTGGCTGACATACAGATTTTTTGAGAGAGCATTGACCCTTGCACTTTGACACAATAAATTAACACACTACTATATATTCTATATGGAAACATCATTTGTGTATAAACAAAGATACGTAGGAGTACCCTATTTTACTCCAAGCCCCACGTCCTACTGTTGACCCCATTGTCTTAACCTTGTTTTCACACACCCTATACCCTGGAGTACTTGCTATTTTATTCATGCCTATGACTTGTACTAGGAAGAAGTAAATAACCTACCCCTCTCTCTCTCTTTCTCTCTCTCTCTATATATATACACACACACAAAGGTCTGCTCAGTGCATGAAGCTCTCGTCATTGTGAAATCTGGAAAAGTCAGATGTACGCAGTTTTACCTCTGCATGAAAATGTTGTTTTTGGTTTTGAATTCATGACCTCCAGGTCACAACAGAACAACCTTATTACGTTGAGATCCACCATATACCATATATATATATATATATATATATATCATAAAATGTTGATCATTGAAATCAATTATAAGAAAGGGTTACACAACATGAAAGCAGCTTTTTGATTAAGAAGAAAGCATGTCATGTACGAAAAGGGACACTATTTTAAGAGAGTCATGGATTACACTGCTGTGACAGCCAAAGTTGAGGTGGTGAGGGACAAATTGAGTGGTTGTGGAGATAAAATGATTTGTCATATTGGTTGACAATCTGTGGAGTAGTAGTACATGTTGGTCTGCAGGCTTGCTCTTGCTGCTGCATCTGAAAACAGAGTATCTCTGCTTGAGCCATTGCAAGCTGCATTTGTAGCTCAGAGACCTGGTCTTGCAGATAAGATATGGCTCCAGCACACCCATAAACTGGATCTCTCATTCTCGCATTTGCTTCGTAGACTAGACTGATCACTGCATCCTCCCTCTGATGAACCGGAAGCTCCTGCTATGAACAAAGAAATATTGTCAATGTCAAAAACAAAAAGAACTAAATGCATACATGCACATATATGTTTATTTTCTATATGTATATGTATTCATAGTTTTGTAACCAAATGATTATATTTATGTCTATACATATATAATGATTGATTTTGAGAGATAGAGAAAGAGAAGACCTGCAACAGTTTGCTGACATTGCTAGCACCAAAGACCTTGTGAACGATGGCGAACTTATGGAGGTCATTAGAAGGGAAGTGAGGAGCAAAGATGCAGTCTTTCGCACATCTGCGTCGCAGCAACTTGCAGGAAGCACAAGGTGAATTTCCAGCCATTTTTCTGTTTGGAAAATCTCGAGGAAGTTTGTGTTGAAGGAAGGAAATAGAGAAGAAAGAGTAGTAGTATAAGCTATATGATACAGGAAAGTGACTATATTAGCTAAAAACAAAAGCTATAGAGTTTGTGGAGAATGGGAAGGAAGTGTGAATATTTATAAAGGGCTATGGATCACGTGTGAACCTAAGTGAGCATTAGATAGAAAATGCCTAATTAAATAAACAATTTTACTAGGTAATTTATACAAACATCTCTAGAGATTAAAGGGACTTGGTTAACGGTGTCAAATTAAGCAGGATCCACGGCCACTAGGTGTAGTCCCGTTTTGAAATTTACGCTCACAAATTCACGAGACGTTCGAATTTGAAAAAAGAAGTTTCTGGTAGTTACAAGAGAAATGTCTGTCATTTGTGTAGATGCGTATTAAAAATCATGAATGATGTCTATTATTTGTGTAGATGCCTATTGAAAATCGTGAATCCTGATACTAAGTAATGCGGACGGTATCCATACAATATAGCATATGCATGGCATCAGATCTCACAAGCTCACAAGAGTCAAACAAGCGAGGACGTTGGCTCAAGATTAATCTCTTTAATTATATCTCTCTAATTCGTTAACATACAGTTAATTTAGCATTTTATCTTTCAAAAAATAAAAATAAAAAGAACATTGGTTATAGAATTATATATATGCCAGCATATATGATACAAAATATAAATAATTCTTTTGTATTATGGGTCGATTCATGAATTTAAAAATGATCCAATTTTTAACAAATGTGTTCAAATTTATTCATATTCGTCTCAAGGGCACAGCAGCGTTAGTAGGAATGCAAGAAGTTAGTCTTAAAGAGCTTTCGAATCGTACTCTTGATTTGAGTGGTATCTATATTATAAAGCCGATACATGTACTTTAAAAATTTTTTTTATTCATATCCAATTAGAATATTGAGGAGGCCCCGGACGACATGGGCCGGATCCGACTCGCAAACACAACATTCAGTTCGTACAGCTGGGTCGGCCCATATAAAGACACTGCCATATGGGCCGAACGGGAGTAAGCCCATCAAAGGTGACCAGGGCTTATGGAGGAATAGGCCCAGATCCAGCAATCAGTAAATATCTTGTAAATATCTTGTAAATATCTATAAATAGGATAAGGAATGGAAAGGAGGGGGATCTTTTTGGGTTGAGGTGTAAGAATTCTAGAGAGAGAAAGAGGAGAACGAATTTCTTGCATCTTCAATTGGCGCCGTCTGTGGGAAACGCATGGAAGTTTGGTTGATCAATGAGGAATATCGAATGGATTCAAACCAATTCGGTTGATCGAGACTCGATCTTTGGGATTTGAATCCAGATCTGAGCGATTGTGACCTACTCTGGAGGAATTACAATTCTTGAAGCTTTGGCAGGAGTGACTTCAGATCTACGCAACAACGAGTTGTTCGATTGTGGCAGGATCTGACGGATTTAGAGTTCAGACAATTCAGATCTCGTAAACAGTGAGCATAATTCGGAGAATTAGAAGCCAGATCTAAAAATTCCTACTCACGAAGCTCGGGTTTACTCGCGAACTTGAGATTAATGCCTTTACTCCGTTCAGGAATAATGATAGGTGAAAGCTCCAATCCGATGGAGGCTGTCCAGCAAACAAAGCTTGAGGAGTTGATGAACTTGATTGAAGCTCTCAAAAAAGAGAATGCAGAATTGAAAGCTGGACTGCAGCATCGGCAAATACCTGCGGTTTCGCATCCACTTCCGGTCGGAGAAGGAGGTGTTCAATCTAATATCGCGCATCAAGGCGAACAGGACGAGAACAATTAGTCAGCTCACCACCGTGATGAAAGGATGATGGACAATTTGCCGCCAAATGTTCGTCGAGTTGAAGATCACGAAGGATCGACTCACGTTGATCCGCAGCGGGAAAGGTTCGACCGAGAGGAAGTGATGGAGGTTGATCGCCGTCGAGTAGCGTCGCCTTGGCAAAGAGAGTTTATAGAGGAACGGTCGTTCGATCCGTCTTACCGGCCCTCCATGGTTACTATCACTCATCACGGTTCGGAGGGCAGAACCGTAACTCACAGAGCTACCGCTGGACTCCAGAGAGAGAATGAAGCTCTCCGATCCGCAGCTCGGACGGTGGATTCACCATTCACCGACGAGATCTTGAATGCCCCGCATCCAAGGAAGTTTGCTATGCCAGTCTTTATTCTGTTCGACGGAACGACCGATCCGATCGATCATGTGTATCATATCCAGTTGAAAATGGCCCTGAATACGGAAAACGACTCTTTAATGTGCAAATGTTTCCCTACAAGCCTGGCCGGACCGGCGCTCAGCTGGTTCAAAAACTTGCCTAGGAGCTCCATTGGTAGTTTCAGAGACCTGTGCGATCGGTTCATAAGCCAATACTATGGGAACAAACGCCCGCCGAAGGACATCTCAAGCCTATTCACGATGAGGCAGCACAAGGATGAACGTCTCCAGGCCTTTCTTACCAGGTTTAATCTCACTAAGAGTATGGTGATCGAATGCCACCCTTCTACGGCAGTTCAAGCCTTCAAGTTAGCCATGACACGCGGAACTCCGTTTCACACCAGTCTGGTAGTGAACACGCCGACTACTATGGATGAACTCAATGAGAGAGCCGATGGCTTTGTGCGCCTAGAAGAAGAGGAGGCAGCTAATGCTCGGACAACGTCGCTTGTGTCGACCGAGGAAAAGTCCAAGGCAAAGAACAGGCAGAAGCAGGCTCAGCCGCAACGTCAGACCTCTTGGAAGGCAGAAAAAAGGTCCAGGGAGGAAGAGCTGATTACTCCGCTGAAGGTCACTCTGGCGAGGCTGTATCAGGAGAACAAAGATAAGTTTCATCCACCACTGCCAATTAGGCAACCCCTCGAACAGAGGGATCAAACTAAACATTGTGCTTTTCATTCTGATTTCGGTCATCAGACTAACGAATGCAGGAACCTGAGGAGGCAAGTGGAGATGTTGATAGCTAGAGGGGAGTTCGCGAGTTATGTTCAAGGTTCGGCGATGGAGCAGAATCGACCGGTGGAACAAATAAAAATGAGTCATAAACAAAGCTCCCACAATTCACAACCAGTTCGTATAATCAATGCTATCCATGGTCGACCCGAGCCTAGTGAAGAGTCAGATGAGCTGCTCCGGGTGCGCCTGCGGCAGGCGCAGATGAAGAAAAGGGTCGGCAATGTGACTACTCTACACCAGCAGAGCCCGTCGATGCAGATAAAGTTCGACTGGACAGACCTGCAGCGTGTTCAACTGCCTCATGACGACCCGTTGGTAGTCAGTTTGACAGTAGCAGATTGCTTGGTGCGCAGAGTTCTGATCGATCCTGGGAGCAGTGCGAATGTCATGCCGAGGGACACATTTGACAGGCTCGAGATTAAACCAGAGAGGCTCAAGCCCACTGGAAATCCCTTGTTAGGGTTCGATGGGAAGAGGGTGGAGCCCGTCGGGATGGTGGAAGTGGAAGTTCAAGCTGCAGAACGAGCTCTTATGGAAACTTTTGTGGTTGTGGAAATTCACCCCTCGTATAATCTCCTGATGGGAAGATGATGGATTCACAGAGTTCGAGGTGTACCCTCAACTCTGCATCAGGTCATGAGGTGCCTCGGGCCCGATGGAGATAAAGTGATAGACATTCGGGGGGATCAGGTCGCAGCCAAAGAGTGTTATTCCGTCACACTAAAGCATGCTGGGAAAGGAAAGGCGCCCGTCCGTTCGGCAAGCCCTAGATAGCAATTACAGGAACCTCCGCTCGAGCAGAATAGGGTAGAGGAGTCAGTCGACTTGACCGAGGAGCCCCTTCTGGATGTGCAGATCGATCAGTCCAGGCCAGAACGAACTACCAGAGTAGGTATAAGACTGACCAGAGAAGAGCAGCAAGAGCTAGTGGATTTCTTGTCCCACAATGCCGACGTATTTGCATGGAGTCACCTAGACATGCCTGGAATTAGTCCCTCCGTATCCTGTCATTCCCTGAATGTCAATCCCAATTTCAAACCAGTGAAACAGAAGCAGCGAAGATTTGCTCCAGAACGTAATCAGATCATAGCGGAAGAAGTCGATAGGCTGCTTGATGCGGGATTTATCAGAGAGGTGCACTACCCTGAGTGGTTGTCCAACGTCGTTGTTGTGCAGAAGAAGAATGGGAAATGGCGAGTATGCATTGATTTCACCAATTTGAACAAAGCCTGTCCGAAGGACAGCTTCCCGTTGCCTAAGATTGATCAAATGGTGGATGCCACCACTGGGTATGAGCGTTTAACCTTTCTGGACGCATATTCAGGTTATAATCAGATTCCTATGGACCCCGCAGATGAAGAAAAAACTTCTTTTGTCACCGAGCGAGGAACATACTGCTACAAAGTTATGCCTTTCGGGCTAAAGAATGCGGGAGCAACTTATCAAAGACTTGTTAGCAAAGTTTTTAAGAATCAAATGGGTAAGATTGTGGAAGCCTATATTGATGATATGGTGGTAAAGAGTAGGAAGAAGGATGATCATCTGAAGCATCTGCAAGATGTATTTGATGTACTAAAGCGATATGGGATGAGGCTCAATCCGACCAAGTGCTCGTTCGGTGTGAGTTCCGGACAGTTTCTGGGACACGTAGTCAACCGCAGAGGCATCGAAGTTAGCCCCGCTCAAGCAGAGGCTTTGATTAAGAATGCCGAGCCAAAGACGATCAGAGAGGTGCAAGCCCTCACAGGACGAATAGCTGCATTAAGTCGATTTATTTCAAAATTGTCAGATCACTGCAAACCATTCTTTGACACGATTCGGAGCCATGGAAGGCAGGTCTGGGGGGATGAGCAACGACAAGCATTGACTCATTTGAAGGAATATATGCAGAATCCACCAGTCCTGTCAGCCCCAGAACCGGAAGAAAAGTTATTTCTATATCTTGGAGTATCTGGTGTCGCGACGAGTGCTGTTCTGATTCGTTGCAATGAAGGGGTGCAATACCC